ATTGTTATTGCTATCATTAATTTATGGCACGCTTCAATGCCGAATGCTGCTCTGAAGTGAGCGCTGGAAAGCAGCACCAGAACGAAAATGGTAACTTAGAGATTTCAAAAACAAAAAAAAATTGCCAAAAAAATAACCCCCGAAAATTGCCCAAAAATTGCGATTTCAACAAATTTGCTATTTTCTGGAAAAAAAATCCGCCGTTGCCAGTGCTGAGGGTGTGCATGTGTTATTGCAGCACATGTATATCCCTCCTTGCTACATCCACAGGGCTCTAATCCAGCTACACAGGGCTGTACGTATAGACGATACAATCATAATATATTTGTACAAATTTAGGTATTTATGCAATTATGTGAGTGCAATTTCTGTGTGCTCATCTGTACCTCTCTGCAATCTAGACACAAATGTATATGATTTTAGTGTCCACGTGCTGGTAACATGAACTGATACAGAAATACACTATTTGTGTGCAAAATTATAATACACATTAGCATGGGATTAAATTATTAGTGCATGTATCTGGATGGCTGTAAATATGCATGTGTATATAAATATGCATGTATATATAAATATGCATGTATATATAAATATGCATACATGTATATAAATATATATGCATGCATGTAAAGCATGTGTGTGACACGGAGGCTGTCGCCTGCCTTTGTGCATCGTTATCACACAGGAGTGGATATCTGCTTTTATGCTTTGCTTTTGTGAAACCTGGAAACGGGACCATTTTCTGCGTCGTCAGCCTCGTTAAATAACAAATCTGGCCCCGGCTGAGTGGACCCGATGGGTTTCCGGCAGGGTCAGACCGAGGGGCTCCATCTCCCACTTGCTAACGCAAAACAGGGTTGCGATCAGCAAGGGAGATTTCCCCAGGTAAATTAATAAAGTAATTTTTCCTGCCATCAACATGCACATTCCTGAGCGAGATTGAACCGTAACTTGGGATGAAGCTCTATGGTGAGTCGGACATTAGGAATTGGAGGATTTTCTGGGATATGTGGGAGACAGAGAGGGATGTGCAGAGGGACAAGGGCTGAGGATTAAACCCGTGATAGCTCTGTAGATTTAGGAAAAAAAAAAAAGTAAGCAAGGGCACAGATTCCCTTTGCTGCTCAGGGCTGAGATTATCATCCCTGCGTGACAGAGAGATGCCCAAGACAAACTAAAAGACCATGTTGGCACCCAGCAAGGGGTGTAAACCCACCAGGGATGAATCTCCCCTGGGGATTAGGAGAAGGACCTCGCCGTGGGGTGCAGAGTCTGGAGAAGCCCAGGCTGGGGACACAAGCAGAAGAGTAGCCAGCGTGGCTGACTGAGTCCCACATCTTCCTCGGGTGAGGGAAGAACCTCCTGGGTTTCCTCAAAATGCATGTCCTTGCAAAGGACAGAGGGAATGGCCTTTGTTGTATCATCCCACCTCCTTTTGTCGACACGTGGTGTTTTTCTCCAGGCTGAGGTCCTGGCCTGGGCACGGAGAGGAGCAGCAGAGCTGGAGAACGACCTCCAAGCCCTGGTCCAAGCTTGCTCAGCAGTCACCCAACACAGCTGGGGACGCTACAGGCTGGGGAGAGCTTTGGTGTCTAATAGTGTCATCAGGAGGACAATTGTCCCCAGATTCTGTCCCTTCTGCCTTGACCTTGAAGCTCACGTGCCAGAGCCACGCTGAGCTGAGCTGCCTCCCTGCTTTCCAGAGGAAGCCATAGCTTTTTCTTAGCAGGCTCCCAGGAACAGGGTTTCTTCCCAAACTGTAGATCGCAGAGGAAAAAAACAAGAATCAACCCTCTTGAGAAAACACCCATGGGCTGGACCACAACTGCTGGTCCTCACCTCTGCTGCCCATTGCTCGACCCTCAGGCTGGGAAGGAAAGCATGTCCTTGGAGAAGGAGAAGCCCATTCCCAGTCCTGTGTGTTAGGCATTGCTCCGTGCCTCGCCAGCATTTCCAAGGCTCTGGGTAACATTGCAAAGTCTCGGCTGTGCAGGGGCGTTCATACAAACCACAGAGCTATGCAAACCCTCCCAGCCTCCTGCCGAGCTCTTCAGTGACATCTCGTGATCCCAGGGGAGGTGAGGCAGCTCTCTGGGATGGTTGGAGACAGTCGGGAAAGCCAATGGGATGCAAAGGGGGGGGGGGGGACCATCCCCCCCCCCGAAGCAAGAGAGAAACTGAAGACAGAAAACGTTTGCCCACAGAGCATCCCGCTGGAGTCCTCCCACTGCACTTGGTGGCTTTCTTGCCGTGGCTCGTTTGGTGGTAGATGCAATTAAAATGGGGCCACAAAGGGTCATTTCAATCCAAGAGCCAACCCAGCAGCACTTCCCCTTGCAGAGATGCCAGAGCCGGATGCTGTGACATTGTGAAAAGTTTCTGCTGGAAGCCTTTCAGCCAAGGAGCTTGTTGGGATCATCCTTTGCCCATAGATAATCTGGTTTGTGACAAATGAACCTCAGCGAGCCCATGGTCCCAGTCCCCTCCCTCTCCCAGTCAGTCCCACAGCGGCACCCATCCATGGTGCAAGGGGCAGAGCCCTGGTCCCCCAAGGAGAGCCCTAAGAAGAGGCACCCACCTTGCTCTCCCCCAGCAGCCTTTGCCCCTGATCTCAAAGCACCCAACACATCCATCCACCAAGCCAGGAGGATGAGGCATCCTGGTGTGGCTCTACACACAAGAAAAGCCAGGGCAGAGGGTTGGTGGCAGGTTCAGAAGGAGACCCCAGGAGTCCTGGTCCTCAGCCCTGCTCCCTGGAGGGACCAAACCCCTCAGCAGCTCCACGAACCAACACCAACACCACAAATATCCAAAAGAGCTCACAAACCTCTGCTCACACTGCCTTCAGCTCCCAAATACCCCAACTCTCATGTTCCCAAGACCTCTTCCACCTGCCCAGGAGGGTCCCAGTGATGGCTCCAACCTGGAAAACCAGCACATCCCAAACTAGCCTGTCCGTCCCCCTCTGCACCATGGGCACACATGGGTAGACTCATCCCTCTGCTATTAAAATCCTTTAAATGCCAGCAGTAAAACTGGGAGAGGTACGTTGAAACTAATAAGCTTTTACAGGAGTTATGCTATGTTTAATAACATTTAATGACTTCTTGCATGCCAGAGGACTTATAGTCCCTATTTAGCAATAATTTACAACACGCAGTGAGCTGTGGACAGTCAAACAGGGAAAAATCTCGACAGCTCCAGCTGCTGCGAAGGAAAAGTGTTGGGGAACGCTGCGGGATGCGAGATTCAGAGGGAGCCGTCATGGGCATTTTAAAGGGTGGGCAAGGAGGGGGCACCGCACGCTCAGACCCCCGTTCACAGAGCCAGCTCCTCGCAGGACTCCCTGCCAGGATAAGTCTGAGCTCAGGATCGCAACCCAGCTACTATTTTTCTTGCAAATGTAGTTTCCCTGACCAGGGACTGGAAAATCCAGCCGTGATTTATACCACATGCCACAAACCCGCCGCTCCTGCGATAACAGGGGTTTTTGCAACGACCCGACAATGTCATATCAATCCTGCAACTGCTGCCAAGACATAGGGGTTACATTATATTTTTATCATAAGCTCTTTGAAACGTGGTTGTCTTGTGATTCCAGATTTGCACCGTGCCTGGGATAACAAAGTACTGCCCCAGCACTGCCAATAAAAGTGATAGCATGCTGCATAATGTTATTTAATGGTCAGCGTTATCCTGTTGTTCCGCTACTTAACATCACACGGCTGTGATCCGCCTGGTCCTTCTCCGCCTCTTTTTGCTGCTCCCATGCAGTTCATCCCCTGCCCTGCAGCCCCGATACCTGCAGGTTATTTTTTCCCTAGACCTAGAGCAAGGAGCGATGCCGTAGGATGAGTTAAAAGCCGCGGTCTGTGTTGTGCGTAGGGGAAAACAGCAAATGGAGGCATAAAACATCACCCTTCAGCCCAGATATCTCCTCGTTTCTCCGTGCCCGTTTTTAATCCCCTCTCTCTCTGACACCGAGCCTTTGAATTGCCAAACCTGCCCCATCGTTTTGCACATAAACACCCCCAAAGCTGTGTAAGCCCCCCCTTCACCAAGCCAAACTCCCGGTCCTGGGGAACAGCCGAAGCAACTCCAAAGCGGATGGATGCAGAGGAGCAAAAAAGGAGGCGAGACGATCGAAAAAAAAAAATCCAGGCAAGCTCTGATCCGCTCTGCCCCAACGCTGGCACCCGCTGCAAAAGCCAAAGCCAGGCTGCTGAGGATGGGGGGACCCATGTCCTGGGGTGTGGGACCAGGGGCAGGGACATGCAGGGAGCAGGACAGGACCTCCTCGGTGCTGGGAGCAAACACTACCCATGCCAGCAGAGCCCAGCGCCTGCTCCAAGGGCAGACATGGCCCTGTGGGATCCTGGATCCTGTGTCCCAGGGTCACCATCATTCCTGAACCGAGCTGCCCAGGCCTCAGCCCCGGCCTTGGGTGGGGAAAGGCTGCATATGGGTTTGGTACAGCTTGGGAAGGGGAAAAAAAAATCCAGAGGGTGTCTGAAAAATGGAACTTTCTCCCCCTGCCTGGGATTTTCAGCTGCTTGTAGCAGTTGGGGATGAAGCTTTAAATCAAGGAAGGGCCCTGGGCATTTCCTGTAGCTGGGAGACACTGGGAGCGCTGGGAGGGGAGGAGCAGGACTCCCCCCACGGCCCCAGCCTCGAGGATGGCGGGGGACCGCTGCTCTGGTCCGACCCACTCGGGAAGGGGACCTCGGGGCTGGGGTGGGGTGGGGGGGAACTGGGATTAGAGGGTTAACGAAGTGGATGGGAGGGCGCACGTGACTGGCTGTGGAGTGGGGGAAGTGGGC